ATTCCTCTTGCTTAAGGACATGTTCCTTAAGCATGTTCCTTAAGCATGACTTAAGGATGTTCAGGATGTTAAATGTTCAAAAATGTGCAAAATGTTCACAAGTGCTGCACAAGAACTGGGCAGAATGAGTGTCCTTAAACTCACTGTGAGTGGGAAATCTTGAGAAACTTGATCAAGAGAAACCACTCATTCCGAAGCATTAAAAGACATCCCCAAACTTCACCACTATGTGACACAGTAAACCGTTGAAACTAATACAATTAAGAGTATTGCATAAGAGACAACTGAATGGTTCTATGCTTAACAAAAAGATCTGAATCTTAACACTTAAGACGTGCAAGTTCTAAGATGTTAGAAAACAGAAAGGATTGGCCAGCTGTGAGGAACAGACTTGCTTGAGCTTCGGAAGTTGCAAGTTCATTAGATCTGCAGTAAGGAGCAACTATTCAGGGCTGAGGAACATCATACCATGGCAGAGCCTTTCCTTTATCATCTAAGACTTATCACAAAACTGCATTAAAGCAAACACGGGGACAGGGGATATAGCTAGCTGCCATCTTGATTCTCGTAAGACTTGGGGCAACCTTTAACTCCGTTTTGACAATCTCTGCTTACACAAAACAGTTTTGATCTTGTAACTGACTAATTTGAGTTGATGAGCGTGAGAAGTTCACTCTTTTTCTTCTTCTTCTCTCCTACAGCTACATATTTTTATTTTGCTTGAAACCTCTTTTTGACCCAACATAAGATGAAAGCCTTAATTTACTAAGCATAAAGCATACATGTATATTCTTATAAAGCATCCTAAGGCTTTCTCAAGAGGTGTGCAAAAATTTCTAAGTGTTTCTAAATCTTTTTCTGTTAATCCTGACTGCTTGCTCATCACATTTAGGTGGCCCTGTATTATTGCATTACTACATCTCTCAATAATCCAATGCCATCCCAGAAGCTCTGTTTCCTGGGTTGGTGCTGAATAGGCATTTGATCCTATCTTGTATATGTTGCTGGTGTGTTTTCTCCCTTATCTCTGTGCTGCAGGAGACTGGATCTTGTCCTTCCATTTTTGTAAATGTGAGTACCTTGGGCCAGTTCATTGATGCTACATTTGCCTCTTTACAGGGTTTATTTTGAGAAATCACACTCTTAGATTGGATGTGTGCCCCTTATGGCTTTTTGGGGAACATACAAAATCCAGACGTTGTACAAAAAGCCCTTTGGGGCTTGGGGATGATCATGGACCCAGAACTCTCTAGAAATACATGAGAGAAGCAAAATTGTCTGACTTTTTTTTTTAAATTTATTTTATTGCTTTCTGCATATTTTTAATCTACAGTGGACTGGACTAGGTAGTAGCCACAGTTAGTGGAGGAAAACTGTGGACAGACAACATGGATAGAGAAAGAGACCGGAGCTGATCTCAGAAGAGGCCAAATCAAACACAGATTTTAAAACTGAATGCCCAGTGAAAGACAGCAGAATTTGCATCTTTTACCTTGAAGAGCCCCACTGGGAACCTGAGGAAGGCTACAGCAGTCACGAAGACAAGCAAATGCCAGATTTCATTATACCTGCTGTAATTGCTGCAGTGTGCTAGGCTTTATTACACTTCATATAATTGCTGTTTATATCTTCCCACCTTTCTCTGGGAATCTTTTCTTTAACCGCCAAATAAACAGTATTAACTGTAAAGTCCTTATCTTCACTTTCTAAAATCTGATGTTTTCCCTGCTGTGGGGCGAAGGTTCCTTCTAGAATGATTTATTGAAGGTGAGTGTGATAGAGCCCTGGCACAGGCTGCCCAGCGAGGCTGTGGAGTCTCCTTCTCTGGAGATCTTCCAAACCCGCCTGGATGCCGCCCTGTGCCCCGTGCTCTGGGTGTCCCTGCTGGAGCAGGGAGGTTGGACTAGATGATCTCTAGAGGTCCCTTCCAACCTCAACCACTCTGGGATTCTGTGGTTCACTAAGAAAGAGGATACTCCCTGCACACTATTAAGAAAAGTAAACTCATGGGCATGGGTCATCAGAAGATCCCCTGGAAAACTGATAGTATTTTAAAGAAATCCTTTTCAAATGAAAGAGCGAAACAGTAACTTCCCCTTTTGAGCAAGAGCACACTCTCTGTAGGGAGATGTAAGGAACAATTATGTTTTTGACTTTGCAAAACTCAATCACAGCTCAGAAAATGTATCGTGCTTTAGAAAGATTTTGATATTCTTCAAGAAACTTAGCACTTCCAAATCTGCAAAAATATGATAAACTAATTAAAAGGGCTGAATGTGTTTTCAGTGCAATAATTCCATTTATGTCTAAAATGTTTGATGGGTTGGTGAGTCTGTCATTTTAAGGATATTTGCTGTAACTAGATTTATATCCAGCTCCATTCAGATATTCTCAGTTTTAATCCAAAATTTGCATCTACATCCAGTAAAATGCACGATGTTTCACTAAATGTCAGAAATTAATCCAGTGCTCCTCCAAATATAGCCTGAGCACTGTACATTAGGATGGGGATAACATGGAGTCGTTGTTTCCCACTTTCCAGGACATCATCCTCTCTGGTGATAGGGACATTAATGGAGGAAGGAACTGTATTTCCTAACATGGACACTTCTTGAACTTCTGTTTTCTTTATGGTCCATGGATGCAACTATTTGAAACCTTCTGTAAGTTTTAACATTGTTGTAATGAAGCGGATGGATAATGTCATAGGTTAAGCTTAGGCATCTTTGGTATCCCAAGTTTGGCACTACAAAATGGAGTTGCAAGATCACTGGCTATTTGCAAAATTGTTAGCCACCACCTTCATAAAAAAACAAATTTCACCAGTTCAGTCACATGTGCCTTCTGTTGGATGGAATTTTTAATCCTGGTTGATATTATATTTATATTTTATTAAAAGCACCTAAAGCACAGAGGAGATATGATGTAACCATGGCTATTGAAATAAATGGTTACTGCTCCCTGGCCTGTGACAGAAAAATTTATCTTTTTCTAACACCCATGTGTGTGGGGTCCAGGAAGACAACTTTCTCCTTTTCTTGCTTAATTATTTCTGTCAAATATCTAACTGTAACTTTTGTACAGTATTTATAACTGTTGCTGGTGTCCATATAATCTTTTTGTAGTTACTGAACGTATTTACATTTTAATGGCCCAAGTCAACAAAGATTTATGCACCTGCCATCTGAATTTTCCACAAAAATGGCAAATGCATCCCAAACAAGTAACTCCTGCAGAATACTCCTCCCCCAAGCATCCTTTAAATGCTTTCATTGCTTCTGGAAACAGTAAGCTATACATTAAAATACTCTCTTGAAGTTGTAAGTCAAAACCAAGTTCTTGCTGCACAGTTTTTGCATATTCAGGGACTAGTTTTGGTCTGTCTGCTTTTAAACACTGCTTCCTGAATGGTGATGTCTGCGTAATCTCTTTGGTATGGTCTCAGGTGCACGAGCTGCCCTGGGGAGCATGGGGACACACGCTGCAGAGCTCCGCTTTGGGGACGCGCAGGCATCTGGGAGCCCCGTGCTCCCTGCGACACACACGGAGCCTCTCCCGAAGGAAGCACGGGGATCGGACAGGAGAACCCTGCAGCACCCCTGCCACATCAGTCTGTGCCCCTCGCTCAGCAGCTGGGACTACCGAGGGGCATTCGTGCGCAAGGTGCACTTGTGTGCCCGTTCTGGCCGTGCTTTCCTGGACGGGAACCCTGCCTAGAGCCCTCACATCCCCACCAGGGAACACTGCCAAGATCTACACTGCCCTTCTGCCGTTGGGGCTCTGCTGCATGAGCCCCCATTAAACACTGCTCCCTGTAGTCTTCCGGACTCATCTGGGCATTTCTCTGCCATTCGTTCATCGTTTGCTGGATACTGCAGCGAGCAGGGAGCTGTGGGGACAATAACAAGAAGCAGCCGGCTCCAGAGGGACCGTGCTGTCCTGTGGGCATGTTTGGTCAGTCCGGGCCTTTTCCGGCCCTGCAGAGATGAGCCAGGTCTGTGCCTGTGCAGGTCTCCAGGTGAGTTTGGGCTGGGGTGAGTCCTGGAGTAGATACCAGGCGTGAGGCTGGGGCAAAGCCGAGGGCAGGACTCGGCTCCAGCAGCACCCTGGTTCCACGACCGGCTCCTGCGGGATGGCGTTCACAAACCCTGCGGTCCCACCTCAGCCACTGGAGCTGGCACAGGGAGAAACGCCAGAGACGGAGCAGCCCCGGCACCCCAGAGCAGCGATGCCGTGCCTGCGTACACCCCGATGCCAGCCGCGGCTCCCTGCCTGCTGCTGGCTGGCTGTCCTTCCGAGCAGCGCTGCGCAGCAGCCGGCGGCGCCGCGGCACGCGCGGTCCTTGCGCTCGCTCCCACCTCGACTCCCGGCAAACTGATGTTCACCGTGACGCTGCGAGGCCAATTCCCCTCCGCACGGGCAACTGCCGGCCCAAATCCAGCCGCCCAGGGCCACCTTGCAGCTTCAGTGGAAAAGAGGGCGGCGGAAGAGAGGGAGAGGGTGTCTTTGAATTGAAAATGGCTAAAAAATAAATGAATGCAAGGCTCTCTCTCCCTGCGAGGCATTCCGGGCAGCGCTGTGCCGCGGCACCACGCTGGTTTTAGGAGCTCTGCAACCAGCTCAAGCCGTGACGGGCGCGCAGGGCCGCGGTGCCACCCGCGGCCAGGCCCGGATCGCGCTCGCCCGCCGCCGCCGCCTCGCCTCAGGGCGGCCGCCGTGGGACGGCACCAGCCCCGCGGCGGGGGCGGCCGCCATGGCCGCCGCGCAGGCCCCGCCGCCGCCCGGCGCGGCCGCCATTTCCCGAGCCGCGCGCGGCTCCCTCCGCAGGTGCCGCGGCCGCCGCTGCCCCCGGCGGGGCCGGCGCTGGCGGTGCGGGAGCGGGGCGCTGCGGAGCGGGCTCGGCGCTGAGCTGAGCTGAGCTGAGCTGAGCTGAGCTCACCTCCCTCCGCCTCCTCCTCCCCCCGCGCCATCCCCCCGTCCCTCCCCCCGCGCGTCCCTCCCCGCGCGCAGCCGGCAGCCGGGAGGGATCTCAGTATTATGGCATCGAGGAGAATGGAGACCAAACCCGTGATAACGTGTCTCAAAACCCTGCTCATCATCTACTCCTTCGTCTTCTGGGTGAGTGCGCCCCGCGGGGACCCCCCCGCACCTGCCCGCGCCTCCGCGCCGCCTTCTCGCCGGCTCGCCGCTGCGCTTCGCACATGTACACGGAGATACATAATTTTGTCTGATTTTGTTATTAGCATTTGGGGGTGTTCTTGCGGGCCGCTGCGGCGGCGCTGCGGCCAGGGTGACCCCGCTGCCCGCAGCGGCGCCCCGTTCCCGGCCGCTTCCCGCTTGGAGCGGGGCGGGGGGGTCGCCGCAAGGGGCCCCTCCAGCCCCGCCGAGCGCTCCCGCCGCTCGGACTCGTCGTTTAAGGCATTGATTAACCTTAAATCTGCCCGCGAGCCGGCTCCCCGGCGGGGTGGGCGCCGCGGGAGCCCTTGCTGCGGTCCCGGCGCCGGGGGCGCGTTGTGTAACCCGGCGCCGGCCCCGGGGAGCCGCTTTTGGGTGACCCAGATGCATTAATGGAGTTGTTCGCAGCGACCGGCGGAGGCCCTGGCTTTCCAGGCACCCCCCCCCCGGAGCCCGGAGATACCCAATTTATGTATAAATCTATGTAGTACATAGTATACCTATATGTATTTTTTATATATATATATGTGTGTGTGTATGTATATATGCATTTTTTTGGTGGTGCCCCGACGCTGTTACTCAGCAGATGGTGGGCGCAAGCGGCGTTGCGCTGGGGCAGCAGCCCGCAGGTTTAAAGACCTTCCTGAAATGGTTCGCGGTGACAGCCCGCGGTAACGGCGCCGTCGGGAACCGGCATCTGCCCATCCTCATCTGCCCATCGCCGGCACCGGCGGGCTCATCGCTCCGTGCCCAGGCTCATCGCTCCGTGCCTGGGCTCGTCACTCCCTACCCAGGCTCGCTCCTTCCCTATTACCCTTTTAATAGCTTTATGGCGTGGGAGAAATACAGTCACTCGTTTGTGTTGTATCATTCTGCTTAAAAACTCCTTCTGAGATAGGAATGACCTCTTCGTCGCAGTGGCGAGCTTTACAGTGAGCCCCTGACTCTTCTCCGTCTCTCTTAACTTCATATGCCTTTTTCTTTGAAAGAAACACCAGCCCAGCCACAAGCTGTCCTGCTAATCCATGGCAGTGCCCCCATGTTGTCTTCACTGCCACGCTGTCAAACCTGTTCTCTCCTCTCTGGCAATTTTGGTGGTAGCCTGAGCAAATGGGTCCCATGACTAAAACAGTCAGGAAGCCGGAATCATCCCCTGCTTTTTGCTGTTGGCACGTAGCTGCCCCTTGCTAATCCCAGGTGGGTAAGCGGCTAAGTTTGTGCACTGACCACAGTGCTCAGGCTCATCCTTCCCAGCGCGTGGGGGCTCTGGGCGAATCCCCGCGTCCTCCTGTGGTCAACGAGCAGCTGCAGGGAGCCTCCTGGATTCACGGTGTCTTTCCAAATGTCCAGATGATGCCTTTTTAGCAGGGATGTTGTATCCTGAGTAATTGGAAGACTCAAATCGGCAAGACCGTCAAGCTGGTGCATTTCATGAACGCTAATCTCATTCGGAGAAGAAAGAGAGAATTGTACATTGAGCCAAGCAGCTGGCCAAGGGAATTGGTGCTCGGGGTTGTACTGGTGCCAGGCCAGGTTGGCAGCTGTGATGTCGTAGGGTAAATGACAGAGAAGTGCTCTGGTTTGGGCCATAACAACGTGTCTGTGTTGGTGGGGTACTGGTCTTCAGGAGGACAGGGTCCATTCGCATGGCTCTTCCAAGCACTTAATGCCATCGGGGTGTGTTTGCCTGTTTGTCCTCTTCCATGTGCCTGGAAAAGGAAGCAAAACAGACTACTGCAACCACGAACAAAAAACGATTAATTTCCTTCCCACTATGGTTGGAGTTGTGTTTTCTCAACATCATGTGGCACCAACCTAGAGAAATCAAGGCACATCCCAAAGGGAAAAGTCAGCCAAGGATCTGGTAAAGGTCCAGAGTATTGGAGAGCAGACCTCAAATTATTTGTTCCTACTTTTAGCCCAGGAGAAACAAAAGAAGAAAAGGACTTACATTTTTGGTCCTTCAAAAGGATTAAAGGAGAAAATTTATTTATCTAAATAACTGATGCATATCATGTGGATCATGTCCATATCATGTGGCATGCCAGTGCCAGAAACTATTGGTTTGCAGAGTGGTTTGCCTGGGTGTTTAGGAGGTTATGAGCTGGTTTCTGAAGGAGAAAATCCTGCATTGCTCAGCTGCTTTGAGGAGTTGTCTGTTTTTTACAGCCGTGGAGATAGAGGTGGCAATATAACACACAGATGAGAGTGTGTCTGTGGCTGAGGAGCATGTGGTGGAAGTCCTTTGGATAAGGACGTATGGAGCTTATGGCTTGTGATATGAGGAACAAAAGGGAGAAAATGCTGGGTTGAATCTGGTGAGATGTTTTGAAAAGTCCAGAGGGAGCCGTCTGTGTTTATGTGGTTTATGAAAGCAGAAAATCTATGTATGCAGCATGTTCCCATGATGAGTGATAATTTGTCAGACCGAAATCTGAACTGCTTTTTTATCAGTGGGTGAGAGGGCTGTAGATGAAGGCTTTCTGAATAAACACTAAATGAGGCTCTAACGCAGGAGTTGCAGAGGGTTGATGAGGAGACATGGCTTACTTAGATTTTGTACAGAGTACTGCTTGTTCCTTTTCAATTTGGTTTTATTTAACACTATTTTGTTATTTTGGTAGCTTCTGCTGCAAATCCCCTCTCCCCCCATACCTCTCAACTTCTTTCCATAAATGTGTGAACGTGGTAGAAAAAATCCATAAACAGAGATAACAAGCTTTTTATGTGCTCATATGTGCTGTTATTCATCGTACACATTAAATGCCTAGGGTTACCTCTTTTAGTCCTTAAGGGACATAATAATAAAAATTCAGCAGCCATTTCTTTCCTAATCAGAATTCTGTACTGAACGCATCTGATTTGGAGGTAGTAAATTGAAACAGGCAATAAAAGCACTGCTTGACTGTTAACTATTTTTATTTGTCTCTTTTTGCGTAGCATAAACTACTACATGCATAAAAACCTGAGATATAACCTGTCTTTTATTTAAAGGAATGTGAATTTTGGATTTTCTATAGAGGAATGAAACCTTTAAAAAGCTATCAGTACCTTTTATTTATCTAGTTCCTAAGTTGTCTTCTGCCTTAAAATATATGTATTCTTATATCTCAGACCTTTTGCAATGAACTTACATTATTTCAAGAGCAAAATAAGAGCCTGCCTCAGTCTGTTTTGGGAGGAGATTTTGAGGGTGTGTGTATTGGTTGTTCAAGTTACAGTGCTGCGTAAAGCAGGTTCAGTCTTATACTCAAAGCTTAACATTAGCCCCAAAAGACACCGCAGCAAAGTGATTATTTTCTAATTTTTTTTCCCCTGTCCTGCTCTATGAAATACCTCACACTAGAATGAGGGCTTTGTATCATTGTGCCTGGTGTGGGGATTTCTTTCTTCTAATTCATGTAATAAAACCTCATAAGCAGAGCTTCCATTTGAGCGCAAGGCGGATCATTGAATTGAAGAGCATCTTCCGGCCGGAACTGAGGAGCATCTTTCAACAAAGATCACTTTTTCAGATATTAAACTTGGCATGTGATAAAATAACGACTAAGACACTGTTTTGCAGCGATAATAGTTTAGATTTCCACATTTTTTTTTTCTGGGAAAACAGATCTGCCCACCCTCAGGGGTCCCCTCGCATGTTGACAGGAGGACCATGGACTGACCGTGGCAGGACAGGTCAGTGCCACTTGACCGCGGGGCAGAGCTGGGGCCGTGGGTGCTTGGTCCCCATACAGAGGCTGCTGCAATAGTATCCACACCAGCTGAAGAGAGAGCTGAAAATCCTTGTTTTTGTGCTTCCTGTCGTCCGTTTCCCTGATGCCTGTGCCGAGGGATGCTAGCAGAGGGGTGAGGTGGGTAGGAGCGGGTGCTGCGCGCTGCCGTCTGCGCAGGCCCGCATGGAGCGAGGGCAGCGGGGAGGTGGGCACCCAGAGCAAACGCGGCAGCCGAGAGCAAACGCGGCATCTCCGCCATCTCCCGGGCTGCCAGCAAACGAGGTCAGCGGCGGGGGCTGAGCGGGGGGGCCCGGCGCTGCTTCCCGCTGGCGCCAGGCCTGCCGGCCCCACCGGCCCTGCCCCACACTGCGCGCTCGAGGGGCCGCCCGCGCCTGGGCACGGGCAGAAGAGCGGGTTTTAGAGCAGACCGTTGGGAGCCCTTTTGTCCTGCCGACGCTTCTGGAACATTCCCGGTCCTGGGATTTGAAGTCCAAATGCTGTTGCTGTTTGGGTGAGCTCTTGGTTGCAATTTCAGGATGGTTACAATTTCAGGAGCTTGCAGAGATATTTTCTGGGAAACATTCTCAGGCAAAGGACGAGCATGGGAGCTTGCTCTGTAGCACGAATTTATGGCCAAATTGCTGACCCATCAGCCAATACAGCAGTTCAAGCTGTGCATTATAATATGGGATCAACTTTGCATGTCCCTTTGAGCATTAATCATCTTTGCTGTGAGTGTCTGGTCAAGTTATTGAAATTACTATTTTTTCCCCAGAACGTCTTTCCCAGGCTTCTGCACTGCTCTCCACGTGCCTGTTCTTCCGAATACCTGCTACCAGGCTCATGCCATCATGTCATCTCCCCCTCCTGCTCCCCATGCCTCCCCGCATTTTTCTAATAAGTGCTAGCAGGCACTTTTGAAGGAAACATTTTAGGAAACATTCGTGCTTTCCCATGTGGCTTGGCTTTGTGTGCCTTTTGGCGGTTCCCTTCCCGCAAAATCATGATTCCTGTGAAATCACAGAGCTTCTGCAAAGCAGTGCTGTTGTAGGTACTTAGTAACCTGCAATCCAGCAAAATGGTACTTTCAGAACTACAGTATTTTTGAGATTCATAGTCAGGATGGATTTAAAATGCACCACAGTTAAGAGAAAAACTTCATGCCGTTGCCACCTTAAGTCAGTTATTTCCAATTCTGTTCTCTTAATGACATACATGAAAAATTAA